CCAGCTGGGGCTACAGGGAGACCCTGTCTCAAAAAAGACAAAAAAAAAAAAAATTATGTGTAAGAGTGTATTACCTGGATGCATGTAAGTGCACCCGTGTCATGCAGTGCCCATGGAGGTCAGAAGAGGGCGTCAAATCCCCTGGAAGTGGAGTTAGAAACAGCTGTTAGCCCCATGTGGGTGCTGGGAACTGAACCCTGGTCTTCTACAAGAGAAGCCTGTGCCCTTAACTGCTGAGCCGCCTCTCCAGCCCCAACTCTTGTTCTTTTCAAGAAAATGAGCAGCCAGCTGCTTCTGTGAAGAGTCAGACAGTGGATGATTTAGGCTTCACATCTCACAGCATTTCAGCCTGTCGGTTAAGAGCCAGCTGGGCCATCCAGACGGCTCCGTTGATAAAGGTACCTGTGGCCAAGCCTGCACCTGAGTTTGATCCCTGGAACCCCCAGGGTAGGAGAAAACCAGTTCCCACAGGTTGTCCTCTGAGCTACATACACAATGCTGTGGCACATGCACCCCACCCCTTGTAAATAAAAAAGTAGTGAAAATTTGTTTTATTAAAGACTTATTTATTTATATTTATTATGTCAGGGTCTCCCATAGCCCCAGCTGGCAAGGAATTCACTATGTAGACCAGGCTGGCCTCAGTCTCAGAGACGCCCACCTGCCTCTGCCTCTCAGTGCTGGGACTAAAGGTGTGTGCCACCACGCCCATTTCTTTGCTTATTTATTTTTATTTTATGTGTATGAGTGTTTTGCCTGCATGTATGTAAGTGCACCATATCTATACAATGCCAGACATCGAGTCCCCTGGAACTGGAGGTATGGACGGTTGTTGGCCACCATGTGGGTGCTGGGAACCAAACCCAGGTCCTCTACAACAGCAGCCGGCGCTCTAACCACTGACCCATCTCTCCAGCACCCCGAATTTTAAATTATTTTTCAAAGAGCCATATAGTAACGCTTTAGGCTGTGCAGGTCTCCCGGTCCTCGGCCGTCGCTCTGGAGAGCACAGCCCCCGTAGGCACAGTGAACGCTGGGCCGGCCTCGGCGGAGCCTGTGCGGGAGCGCCTTGCCGAGTCGGGTCCCCGAGACTTTGGCGCCTTGGCAGCAGCGCGGTCACTTGCAGCCGGTGGTTTTGTGGAAGGGCGTCTGCTTTTCGGTGTCCCGGCCCTGGCAGGCCCGCGGTGACCGGGCTGTGATAGGACGTTTCCCGGTCCCGCCTTCGGCCCAGGCACCCGCGGCTCCTCCTCTTCTGCCTAGTCCTCCTCCTATGAGGTGGACCGAGCCCTTCTTTCCTTCTGCCCGGCCTTTTACCATCTGCAGTGCGGAGACCGGGGCGAGGTGACGGTGGATGGAGCCGGCAGGCCGGGGGAGAATGTGCAAAGCCTGGCCTCTGGGCGTTAGCGGGCGCTGGGTTGTCTGAGCGGGCAGGCCGGGCCCACCCCACCCCTCCAGCCTCTCCTTCCTCCCCTAATTCCCACCAAGCCGTCCCGCAGGCCTCTGGGCCTGCCCTCAGCAGAGGTGGTGGGGTCTCCATGACCGGGCAGGCCCCCTGCAGCCCACCCGGCTCTTGGCCTTCGACCCAGCCAGCCTCTCCTGCTCCCTGCCCGACCGACCGGGAGCTGCTGTCCGCCCCTTGCAGGACCACCTTCAGCAGTGCCCCTTCCAAGCCGTGCCTTGCTCCAACGACAACTGCCGGGAAGCCATGCTCCGGAAAGACCTGGAAGAGCACCTGAGCGCACGCTGCCAGTTTCGAGAGGAAAAATGCCTTTACTGTAAAAAGGAAGTGGCCGTGATCAACCTGCAGGTAAGAGCGGGCAGCCTGTGGCGCCAGATTCTCCGTGGCCACAACAACTCGTCCGAACACAGATGCAAGCTCTTTGCTGACTTGTATGTACAGAGTGGGACCTAAAGAGAAGCATTATCTGGTTGGAGATGTGGCTCAGTGGCTGCGTGCTTACTAGCACGAAGAGAGCCCTGGGTTTGATCTCTAACCAGGCCTGATGGCTTGGGCCTCCAGTCAGGGCACTTGGAGGCAGGATGAACAGGAGTTCAAGGTCATCCTTGGTACACCACAAATTGAGGCCATCCGGAGCCACATGAGAACCTGCCTTTCAAAAAGAATCCTAGTAGCTTCTTTTGCAACAGACAGAGATTATTACAGAGTTCCATAGCTGGTCCCACCGAGAATAGTGTCTGTGAGATGCCCACCCCTAAGTCACACATCTACAATGGAACCTCTACACCTAAGGCTCACGGAACACCGTGGAACAGGGGTACAGAGAAGACTAACGCATCTCTCAGCTCTCATCAGAGAAGCTTCCTCACACAACAGAGGGTGATGAACAGAAAAAGGCCACAACTGGCCAAAGTGTAGAGAATGAGAGACTGCAGGGTGTGGGTCCCTGGACAGGACTCCTTCACCCACCCAGGACTCAGAGACCATTGTGGGAAAGGGGGCGGAAAGATTGTAAGAGGCAGCGAGGAGGTGCATGACCATAAGGAAACAGTCTTACAGACTCCTGGGACCTTGCTCATACGAACTTACAGCAATGGTGACAGTGTACATAAGACCCATGCAAACTCTGTCAGACAAAAACCAGCATAGAACTGGGGATTGGGCAGGAGGCTACCACTTGGGTGAGGCTCTATTGGCAGCTAATCACTGCTGGGTGAGAGAGAGTTGGTCTTCCTTGAGGGAGTGACACTAGGAATAGGCTGAACAGGCTCCAGTGCATGAACTCACACAAAGGGACATCTGGGCACACAAATTTGACTCAATAGGCCTTAACGTATATGGCAAAATGCATGAAGTCCTGTGGGTGGGCTGTGGGGGATTGCAGATAGGGAAGGGGGACGAAATATGATTAAGGTGCAGTGTATGAAAGTCAATAAAAAAATACATATTTTTTAAAAGCCCTATGCCAATCTGGTCTACATAGTGAGTTCCCTGTCTCAAAAAAAAAAAAACTATCACAGTGGCCTGTAGAGGTAGCTCAGTTGCTGTCATGCATCCCTAACATTCTCAAGGCCCTGGGTACAATCCCTACCACCACATAAACCAGGTTGGTTGTTCATACCTGTAATCCCAGCACTTGGGAAGTAGAGGCAGGAGGATCAGAAGTTCAAAGACGGTTCATCCTTGACTGCATAGGTGGTTCTCAAAGGGAGGGAACTATCTGGGATGTGATCTGTGAGAAGCCCAAAACCTTCTTGTTGGCAGGACTCCTCTCATTGGCAAAATAGCATAGGGCACCTGCTGTAAATGTGGACGGAGAGGAGGTGATGTTAATGGCTGCCCTCCAGATTCTGTCTCTGGCTGGAGAGGCAGGATATCAGTAATAGAGACCATGGACACCTTTTGCATGTGTAGACACCACACTAGTAATTCCCCAGGCCGCCTGCTTTGAGCCCCAAGCCTTCTAATCTTCCAGATGAGTTGGAAATTTAAATGTTTTAATTCATTTATATCAAGAAAGCAGACATCTCAACTCTTGTGGAACTGAGCTATAACTTCCTATGGAGGGCAAACCATGTGACATACCTCCCCAGACACGTGTGTGATCACTATGAGGCAGAGAACCTGGACTTTGTTTCCTACCCCCTCTCTCTGTTTCAGAATCATGAGGAAACCTCGTGTCCTGAGTGTCCAGTGTCTTGTCCCAACAAGTGTTTGCAGATTATCCCGAGGAATGAGGTAACTAATTTTGCCTCTGAAGAATCTGTAAGGGAAAGCTTTAGCAATCCATGTACTGTGCCTCCGATGAGATCTGAGAAGGCCTGGCATTTGCAGGATCCTGGCCATGGCTGCCTTTGCCTTCAGGTCCCGCCCCCTGCATGTAAGCCCTCTGTTTCCATCCTAGCTCTACCTCCCCAACTTCTCTCCTGCCCCTCACTTGCACCCAAGTCACCCTTGCTTCCCTGCTGGCTGCACTTCTGCCATGTGGTTGGGGAATCCAGTGATGAGTCTCCACAGTATAGACTGTCCATTTCGTAGGTGAATAAACACCTTGCTGTGTGTCCTGAGGCTGAAGAAGACTGTCCCTTTAAGCACTATGGCTGTGCTGTCCAGGTAAGGTGTGGCTGCCTTCTTTTCTGCCTGTATGAGTCAGTGATGGATTCATTTTATTCTTTGACTCTATTCAGAATATGGAGGGACGTGAAACCTTGAGAACTTTATAATTGTATTAGGGCTCTGCAGAGAACAGACCATATACATACATACATATATGCATGTATGTATTAAGATAGATGTGTAGAGAGAATTGTTCTAAAAAACTGGTTCCTGCCACTGTGGGGTTAACATGCCCTGCACCTGTGGGTTAGCCCAGTGACCTGGAAACTCGGGCTGGAGTTTGTGTCTCAGTCTTGGTAGGAACTGGAGAACTGCTTCTTCCTCAGATTAGCTCCTAGGCCTTCAGCACCCTGGCCGAGGCCCGTTCACATGTGGCTGGCTGGGTCATCATGTCTACAAAACACTCTCACAGTTGCACCTAGACTAGTTTTCACTGAATGAGGTACCATAGCCCAACCAGATTGTCACATAATTAACCATGGTAGTAATGATTTTTAATTCTGCTCCATTGCTTCTACCATGGTTTTGGAACCTTCCAGAGTCATTCCTCCCATGATCACAAATCCTGGCTTTATGATACCACTGTAATCACTACATACTCAGAAACAAAGAGATGTGAGTCTGTGGCTGTTGCTCACCAGTGGAGTGCCTGCTTAGCACAGTGAGGGAGGCCCTGGGTTTGATTCCTACCACTGAAAAAAAATTGCTGAAACAAAGTGATTTGAAATCATGTTTTTAAATAGCTTTTAATACTTTTAAGTACCTTTAAAATAAGTATTCAATAAATTAGGCATGGTAGCACATACCTCTAATCTAGCACTTGGGAGGCAGAAGCAGGCAGATCTCTATGAGCTGGAGGCCAGCCTGGTCTACATAGTGAGTTCCAGGTCAGCTGGGGCTACAGGGAGACCCTGTCTCAAAACAAACAAAAAATTCAATAAATTGTGTAAAATAAATTAAAAATAAAATAAAATTTGGGGGCTGGAGAGATTGCTCAGTGGTTAAGAACACTGACTGTTCTTGCAGAAGACCCAGGTTCAAATCTCAGCACCCACATGGCAGCTAACAACTGTCTATAACTCCAGTTTCAGGGGATCCGACAGCCTCTTCTGTCCTCCGTGGGCATTGAAAGACACTGGTGCACTTACCTACATGCAGGCACAACACTCATACATATAAAATAAAAATAAAATATTAGAAAAGGAAAATAAAGTTTGATCACTACTTCAGTCCTTTTAAGAAATTCCAGTAGATCAGAGTTTTAGAAATTAAAATATATCATGCTGTATATTAGCCCATAGATACTGTAAGTCTAAAATTACCCCAAAATAAAGCTCATTTCAAAAGTCATTAAATACTAGAAGGGATTTTTTTATTCTTCAAATAAAGAAACTTTCTCTTTTTTGATATTTTTATTTTATGTGTATGAGTGTTTTGTCAGCATATATGTAAGCGGACCAATGTCTGTGAAAGCCAGAAGAGGACGTTGGATCCCCTGGAACTGGAGTTATGGTTGTTAGCTGCTATGGGGGTGCTGGAAACCAAACCTGGATCCTCTGCAAGAGGAGTCAGTGCTCTTAACCACTGAGCATCTCTCCAGCCCCTAAGAAACCCTTTGAACCACAAAGACAGAGTCATTTTGATAAGTTTAATCACAAATATGTAAAACTTCTACATGATTTTAAAAACATGATAAAGTGAAATGGTAAGCCATAATTTAGAGGAAATTTTACAACATACAACCAGACAAAAAGGACTATCTTCTTTAACATACAAATAATTCTATGTGTGAATAAAATATACAACTTAATACAAAAATGTTTATATGTATGTGCATACATACATACACAGAGGCAATTTCAGAAAAACTATAAGTGGTTGATATATATATAAAAGTATAAATTATAATTTCTTCATCTTAACAAATATTGATGTATTTATAATATCCAGCTGTTTTGAAGGGTGGCTTGGTTACATCTATGAAGAGAAATGAACCTATACTTTAACCTTGCATTGAGACTGTAGGAATTTATATCATAGATACCCTTTTGTAAGTGTGCAGTGGTCCCACACAAAGGCACACACAGGTGCATATGCTGGTCAACCCCTAGCCACCCCAAAATGTGTATTATTAAGAGCCCATACATAGATGAGTGACAGCTGGTGGTTGTGTTTGGCGCCGAAGGGGTGCCGCTCACCTCTCATTGTGAAATGCACCATTGCCTGCAGCTCTGAAAGTGCCCTTTACAGTCAGGAAAAACCCCAGCTGTGCTGTGTTCCGGAGCTTGTCTCAATACCAGAGCTGAGAATAGCTTGCAGGGGTGATCTCTGGAACCTTGGAACACTCTACTACCAAGGGGCAAATCCTCAACTGAAGGAACCCTGGTGAACAATGTTGGCTTAGAATACATGGATCACTTTGGCTTTTAGTAGTAAAGGCCATTGGCAAAGAAACAGCTTAATCATCAGGGCACATGTAACATTTATTCTCTCAAATATATTCTATGACTCTGAGCACAACATGTTTCCATGGGCTGAAACTAAAATCAGGTGGCATGCTTTCTGTCCCCGACAGCAGTACAGTATAGAAATGTGCTCAGGAGGAGAGAGAATGGGCCTAGGCTCGAAACCACTCTGCAGGTAAACCACCAGGAAGTTGTCTATAGGAAACGAAAGGGGCGGGGTCTTTGCCTCCTCTACACCCCACAGGAACGCAGACAACATGCAACTACGGCCTGATTCTCTCTTTTTTAAGTTTGCCTCCTGGGGACGAGAGGATTCTAAAGCTGGAAAAGGACCTGGTGGAGTCCCTTTTCCTACAGCCCTCTAGGAGCAGGTGCATATGGAAACTCAGCAAGTTGCTGAGGGTCTACGCTAGCCGAGTACCCCACCACCCCTCATTTGGGGGTGCTTCTCAGTAACTGGGCTTCTTTTTTGCTTGAAGGAGAAGCGGGGGAAGCTTCAGCAGCACCAGCAGGTGGCCCTGCGCGAGCACATGCTGCTGGTTTTAGAGAAGAATTTCCAACTAGAACAGCAGGTGGGTCAGAGAGAAGGGGGTGGAAGGGGAGTGGCGTCACTGGGGTTTGGCTGCTCTGTTTTCATTTTCTCAGTGGGTCGGTGTAAGTCCAGTGACGCTGGATGCCCTTCTCCTAACGGCCACACACTCAGGAATGTAGAACGTTGGCTGGAAGGTACTCCTGAGTTCTTAGGGCTCATCCCCTCACCCAGCAGGTGAGGTAACTAAGCTCAAGGATGCACTGGTGTCTGTAGCACTAAGGGGCAGATTCCGGCTCAGTATCTCAAGCCAACACCCCTGGTGGCTCACCATACACTCTGCAGCCTGTCCTGCACCCTCTGGTCCCTACTTGGGACCTAGTAGCTGTTTGATTTGGTTTTTTGGGTTTTTTTGGGGGGGGGTATTTTTGAGACAGGGTTTCCCTGTAGCCACAACTGGCCTGGAACTTGCTGTGTACACCAGGCTGGCCTCAATCTCATAGAGATCTGCCTGCCTCTGCCTTCCAAGTGAGTGCTAGGGTTAAAAGTATGCACCACCACACACAGCCCACTTGATACTTAAATTAAATCAATCTGAGCATAAAACAGCAGTTGACCGTCCTAAGTACTGTGGGTTTTATAATTGTAAGTCTGACTGCCTTTGAGAAGCTTTGCAAGGTGGGAAATGTATGCTTCATACATACATACTTCACTGAGCTGTGGTTATCATGAGATATGCCTGCCCTAGTGCCTGGAGCATCCATAGACCACATCAATAAACTCTGATCCTAATGAGCTGTTGTTAGGAAACCTAATTATTTTAGAGCTATCGCAGAAGCTTTCAACCCACACACGTGAGAAATCTGTCTTCAGAGAAGGAATTTTAATAGTGCTGATCATTTTGTGAGGTATGATCCCATATTCAAGTGGGTATGTGAGTTTTTAGCCAGGAGAAAATTTGAAAACTGGATTCAACAGTAACTGTGGTCAAGGCACGCTACCCAGTAACTGCAAGTCCTATGTGCACTGCTCTCTTCGCGTATCCATCAGTTCATGGAGTACAGTTCATGTCGGGGGTAGGGGCATTCCTAGGGACAGTCAAGAAAGACATAGCCTCTACTTTGAAGAATCACAGAAATAGAATCAGGTAGGCCACTGCCTCCTGGGACACCAGATAACCGTGTGGGTACTGGGGTTGCAGCAGAGCTTCGGGAAAGCTGTGAAAGTCTTTTCAGGGTGGATTCCAAGCTGTGTCTTAAAGGAAGAAAAGCTTTGTCAGTTGCAGTGTCTTGGAAATAGGACGTGCAGAAGGCTGGAGCTTATGCATGACAGGCCCGAACGAGATGCCAGAGGCCTACAGAAGTAGGATCCTCAGGTTCCTGGACACCCAGGGCATGAGATGGAACATCTGGGGACTGATGTTCGGATCACTACAGCATTAGTCTTCTGAGAGCTAAGATCTGATACTGTATATTCAATTATTGTCTTAGCATATATACTCTGCCTTGTTTCAGAAAGGATTTAAGGGGCAAAAGTTGGAACTAATGTTTTGCAGTGTTAGGGAAACACTTGGTCTGATAGTTGTTTAGTTTTCTTAAAAGCAAGGCATCTGGGAGCTGGAGAAATGGCTCAGCGGTTAAGAACACTGGTGGTTCTTGCAGAAGACCCGGGTTCGAATCCCAGCACCCACATGGAAACTAACAACTGTCCGTAACTCCAGTTCCAGGGGGATCTGACAGCCTCTTCTGACCTCCAAGGCCAGGCAGCTTGGTCACTTCTCTCTTCCCTGGTTTCTTCATGTGTAAATGGGGCTGTGGCAGAGGGAGAGTAGAGGAAGCCAGAGGCTGGGGCTGGTGACGGTAGGGCATATCCACTTGCCTGTGGCTGCAGAGCACAGGGAGATATTCTGAGGTTGACATGGAGACAGAGCCTAGGAAAGTTATTGACTGAAATGGGCACCCCAAGAACAAGTAAGGGTAGGGAGAGGGGTGCTGGGTTTGGTTTTGGTCAGTTGGAGAGGTGGTGTCTACTCTAGGGGTCCACAGAGAGGATTCTGAGGTCAGAGGTCAAGGCAGAGGTTGTAGTGACTTGTACATTCATCCATCAAACAGGCACTGAGTGTCCGTATCAGGCACCATGCTGGGTCCAGAGAATAAAGAAGTGAGACACAGTCTCAAGAAACAGTGCGGTGGAGGGAAAAGAGCAACAACGAAAGCAAGCCACAGGTGGAACGGGGCTAGTTATGGGCAGGCACTGGGACTGGAGGGGCCTGTGTGAGTGAGTGTTTCCAAGACACAGCACTGAGTGGCAGCATTGGCAGGGCAGTTTCCTGATGAGGAGGGAAGTGCCTGTGGGAGCAGGGCCTGGGGGAACTAGGCGTTGTGCAGTCTTGCTGGGCAGGGTGCACATGGGTTAGGCATGACGTCAGAGCAGATCACATAGAGTCCCATGTGACCTGAAAAGGAGAACACTGGAGATGTTGGAGTATGGGAAGCACAGGATCAGATCTGTCTCCTGTTACGCTGGCCACGGTACAGGATTAAAGTACAGAACAAGACCAAAACCTAGGAAAGCATTGCTCACTGAGCAACTGGGTATCACACCCACTGGCCCCTGGCTCTGTCCAGTTGCTGTGAGATCCAGCTGGTCCCAGCTCCCGTGAAGGATACATGCACCTGTGTCACATAGAAGGTCCAGTCTGGGACCATGTGGGAATCTGTTTGTCACAGTCTAGGTGAGACACAATGAAGATGGAGACTGCTGGAACAGTGAGCAACTGCATGTGGCTGCCATCCCAGCCCTTGAGAGGTGGAGGCAGGATTAGGTCATCCTCAGCTACATAGATGGTTCCAGGTCAGCAGTGCCACATGAGACTGTCATAAAACAGAAACAATACAAACAGATGAGGTGAGAACTAGATGGAAGAGGCTTTGGGTTTATCCTTTTGTGAGTAAAGGTTGTCCAGCTGCAGTCTGAGTGAATGCGTGGAGAACAGGTGTCTGGGCTTCTTTTGGGTTTCTGGTGGTTTCCCTCAAATACATTACAAACTCTGGGCAGGAGGAGAGATGGCTTAGCAGGTAAAACCATTCACTGCACAGGTGCGAAGGTCTGTCTGAGTTCAGATCCCACCAAGTTTAAAAAAAAAAAGCCAGGGTCACTGCACGGAGGCCCAGCTCCAGGTTCAGTGAGAGACTCTGTCTCAAGGGAATGAGGCAGAAGGCAGTAGAGAACACTGCACATACACACACAGGTACACACAACATGTGTGCATACATCATACATATGTGCACACACACAAATAGATAATGAATTCCAAGTAAACACACTGGGCAGCTGGTTTGGCTGCCGCTTGTTAGTTTGTGTGCCGACAGGGTACTCGATGGAGTTCTTTGAGGATGAGTGGAAGGTCAGAGGTCTGGTAGCCTTGTGGCAGTGTGGGCGGTACCTTGGCTCTCTGATTAGCTCGTGCTGACAGGACGAAGTGAACCAGTTCAGTCAGTTTGGCCTCATGATGTCCTCCGTCATCAGCTGCCATCACTGGGTCAGAGATAAAAGATTCCGTGGATCTGGATTGGGGACTACCTGCAAATATTTTCCTAGACGCACATGGGAATCTGCTTGGGATATTATCCTAGAGCTGCGTGTGTGTCTCTGCCTGCAACAGACTCTTTGCATGTCCCTGCCCTTCAGTAGCTTCATGTCTCCTCATTCACATGCTTATTATTAGATTTCGGACTTACATAAGAGTCTAGCGCAGAAAGAAAGCAAGATCCAGCAGCTGGCGGAGACCGTGAAGAGATTCGAAAAGGACTTCAAGCAGTTCACCCAGCTGCTGGGCAGAAACGGAAGCTTCCTCTCAAACATGCAGGTGAGGCACGGTTTTCCACTCAAAGCCAGGGCCTGGCGCTCAGTCAGCAGGGAGGGTTTTTCTTTTTAACTTCTTAAATGGAAATGATTTCAAACACATAGAAAAGCTTCGAGAATCTGACAGCTCCAGGAGCACCTACATCTCTGTCTCCGCCACCCCCACGTCTCCCTCTCTGTCACCCCATTTGCTTCACCTCCAGCATGCCTCCCCGCTGGGTGCATGCACAGGGAACACCCGAGAGAATACTGCATGCCCTTTGCTCTGAAAGCTTCAGAATTTCCCGAGAGGAAAGCCCATCTGCATATAACCCCAGGACTCTTAGCAATGTCAGTCAGTTCAACGTTTATACAATACTTCCATAAAATGTATGGCACCTAGAGTTTTGACTGATGTTGGGTTGCTGTTACCCTGTTTGAGACACGTCGAGAACATCCTGTTCTGCATTTACAGACGACAAAGCAAAACCATTAATTCTCCCTGGGAAGAGCATACATTAAATTCACTAAAATAGAGTAAAAAGAATCACTTGGTAAATCTTAATATTAAATACTTATAAATGGGGCTGGAGAGATGACTCAGATGTTAAGAGCATATATTGTTCTTCCAGAGCATCTAAGCTTGGTTCCCAACTCCCACAACTGCCTGTAACCCCAGCTCCACGGGGGATCCAATGACTCTGGCCTCTGTAGGCCTCACGTGCACATACCCACATACACACACAAAAAAATAAATTGATTAAAAGATTTATTTTAAGGCTGGGCATAGTGGCGCATGCCTTTAATCCCAGCACTTGGGAGGCAGAGGTAGGTGGATCTCTGTGAGTTTGAGGCCAGCCTGGTCTCCATAGGAAGTTCTAGGCCAGCTGGGGTTACAGGGAGACCCTGTCTCAAAAAGACCAAAAAAAAAAAATTTATTTTGAAAAATCATAAATGATTCCTACTGAATAGAAGTTCTTATCATGATTATAAGATTTGTGATGAAAGATTTTAAGATATGTGATAAGACTAATACACTTGGAATTTGAATTTTCCTGGAAAATCTAGGCCATGTAAGTTCCATGCTTTTTCAGCATATCATATACATGTACACATAATATACATGTGGTACATATGCCCTATATGTATGTGCAGGTGTGTGCATACATGTGTATGCATGTGTATGTGAATGTGTCCAGAAAGAGAAATCTAACATAACTATTATCTCAGTTCTGACCTTTTTCTAAACGAAGACCACCAAGTTAGAATTAAGGGCAAGGTGGAGCAGTTTAAGTCTCCCAGCTGGGAGAGCAGTGGATTGTGAGGCCTCTTCCAGGCTGTGGCCCACTCTGCTCAGGCCAGAACAGGCAGTGTGGTCCAGCTCACGCTCAGCCACCTGGCAGAGTGGCCTCCTGGGGAAGGCAGTGCTAAGATGAGCCAGAGAACACACAGTAAGGGGAGAAGACCAACAGGGAAATCAAGGGCAGATTACTCTAGCTGTTGGTACAGAAAAGCTCAGATTTACCACAGGCATTGGCTAGGAGAGGAGGAGGAGCAGCAGAGGCTCATCTCTGATCCTCAGCATTCTCGGGACTCTGTTTCACATCATTAACTGATTAAATACAAATGCCTGAGCTAAAAATTTCAATCTTCGGGGAGGAAAGATAGAAAGAACGAGGGAGGCACAGCCAAATCAAATAGAGTCCTACAGGTTCCTGGGACCTTGCTCGTATGGACTTACAGCAATGGTGTCAGCATGCACAAGACTCATGCAGAGTCAAGCAGACAAAAACCCAGCACAGAACTGTGGAAATGGACAGCTGGCCCCAATCTTAGTTGAAGAATTATTGGCAGCTAATTACTGCTGGGTGAGGAAGAGCTGATCTTCATGAAGGGACTCTAGATAGGCTGAGTAGTCTTCAGTGGATGAACTTGCACTGAGGGACGTCTGGGGACATAACTTGCAACGATAGGCCTTGACACAAATGACAGACTGTATGGACTCTAGTGGGGGGGGGGTCTATGGGAAGGGCCAGTGGGGAAGAGGGTATAAAGATGATTAAGATGTTCTGTATGAAATATACAAAAGTTCAATAAAATTTTTTTAATTCAGTTTTAACAAATCACTAAATATTAACCAATTTTTTTAATACTGTGACCTCTTTTGTACTGAAAGGTTCTCACCAATCACATTGACAAGTCCACTTGGCTAGAAGCACAAGTGTGTCAGTTACTCCAGATGGTTAACCAGCAACAAAGCAAATTTGACCTGAGACCTTTGGTGGAAGCAATTGACACCGTGAAACAGAAGATCACCCTGCTGGAAGCCAGGGATCAAAGACTGGGTATGTCTGGGGGTTCCTGCTCTGCTCAGCATGTTTAGGAACTGCACTGAAGTCAGCCCGCTCCAGGGTACGCACTGGCTGAATGCCATGGTTGTGAAGCGGTGTGAGAGTCTGGCTGCCCAGGCTAAAATGAGGGCCACCTTGACTGGGGTGGAAACAGTGCTGGTTTTTCAGACAATTGGAAAATAAGCTAAGGGAGAGAGGTGATAGATGACTGCTGTAGTGCAGAGAAGTGTAAGAGGATTTGGCTATTAAAAAGCATGCTAGGGCCGGCCAGATGCCTCAGCTGGTAAAGGTGCTTGCTTCACAAGCATGACCACCTGAGTTTGGCTCCTAAAATCCTAACATGACAGAGGGAGATAAACAAGTCCTAGAAGTTGACCTGACTTCCACATGTATGCCTGCACTGACATTCAATCATGCACACACATGCAGACACGTTTTTTCATTTTTTTATGTGTATGAGCATATTGCCTGCATGTATGCTTATACACTCATGTGTGCAATGCCCACAGAGGTCAGAAGAGGGCATCAGATCTCCTAAAACTGGAGTTATGGATGGTTATGAGCCATCGTGTGGGTACTGGGAATCAAATCCTCTGCAAGAACAGCCAGGTCTCTTAACCGCTGAGCCATCTCTCTGGCCCCCCTTTTTTAAATTTTAAAAGCAGCCAGGCATGGTGTCTTGTGATTTAATCCCAGCACTCAGGAAGCAGAGGCAGGCAGATCTCTGTGAATTCAGGGGCAGCCTGGTCTACATAGTGAGTTCCAGGCCATCCAGGACTGTATATTAAGACCCTGTGAGACCTGACTCAGAAAACGAAGCAGGGAGCAACTGAGGAAGACACCCAACACCAACCTCCACATGCACACATGTGCCCTCTCCATGCCCCACATAGATATGTTCTAGTTAGGAAGGTTTGAGGCTCCACATGGGAATTCACTCAGGTGGAAAGCTCAGCATGTCTTATACCTGGGCAGGCTTTGGGTTACAAGTTCACATCCCTGCTTGTATCTAATCCGTCTATGATTTTAGGGTTACCTCTTCAGAGGGGGGAATGTTAGAGTAGCCAAAAGCCCCATAAAAATAAATCAAAGAAGAAAGAGTACATAAAGTTATCAGAAAAAAGTGATGGGGAGATATGGGAGGAGTTGGAGAGGAGGGAGTGGGCATGGATTTGATCAAAACACCTTATATCCATGTATGAAATTCTCAATAAATTATTTTTTTTTTAAAGTTCACATCCCTGTTAGCCTGGTGCCAGTTTACCAGGGCACGGCACCCACTGAGTTAGTGTCAATGATATAAGTGGTACATGTATGATCTTAAGTTTGGTTTAACGTTAGGATGCCAGTATTCTCTGGCTCTCTTTAGGTAACAGGCCTGTGTTTTAAGCACTTGTGTTTGCCTTTCAGTCGTCTTAGAAGGGGAGACTAACAAGCACGACACCCACATAAACATCCACAAAGCACAGCTGAATAAAAATGAGGAGCGGTTTAAGATGCTGGAGGGTGCCTGTTACAGTGGGAAGCTCATCTGGAAGGTGACAGATTACAGGGTGAAGAAGAAGGAGGCTGTGGATGGACACGCAGTGTCCGTCTTCAGCCAGCCCTTCTACACCAGCCGCTGTGGCTACCGGCTCTGTGCTAGAGCATACCTGAATGGGGATGGGTCTGGGAAGGGGACACACCTGTCCCTGTACTTTGTGGTGATGCGAGGGGAGTTTGACTCCCTGCTACAGTGGCCGTTCAGACAGAGGGTGACCCTGATGCTTTTGGACCAGAGTGGCAAGAAGAACCACATCATGGAGACCTTCAAAGCCGACCCCAGTAGCAGCAGCTTTAAGAGGCCGGATGGAGAGATGAACATTGCCTCTGGCTGTCCCCGCTTTGTGGCGCACTCCACCCTGGAGAATGCCAAGAACACCTACCTTAAAGATGACACCCTGTTCTTGAAAGTGGCTGTGGATTTAACCGACCTGGAGGATCTCTAACTATGGTGTGACAGGAAAGCTTCATGGGTCCAGACAATGCAGAGGACACAGGGCGACCGCATCCGCCTCCTCTTAGACTCAGTGTGCATTTGAATCAGCCTTTTGCCTTTCGTGTCAGAAGTGCCGTCTTTCGTACCGGATCCTGCCCCAGTTTGAAAGTTAAAAACTCTTAGACTATTATTATTTATATTTTTATATTCTATGAAGGATTATCTGTCTTGGAAATAAAGCCTGTCTCTCAGCGGTGCTGAGGGCTGTCCCAGGTGCTGTTGGAATGACCGGTTGAAATGCTTTGGTAGCTGTCAGGGCCTGTTGCTTCCCCACCTGACCCTAGGCCTGCAATATGTGCTTCAGACAATATATTTGCACCATATTTCTTGAGTTAAGTACTTAATTTCCGGAAATTACTGCACAGCTATGTATTTTCACAAAATTCACCAGCAGTTTGAAGCAGTTTTACAAAGCTGCAAAATACGTGGCAAGTGGGGTAAGCATTTTGTCTTCCTCCTGAAGTACTCAATAGTATGTTAAGTAAGCTAACCTCATAAAATTTAGATTTCATTGGGTTAGACCATGTGAAAAACTTGTTTTCCTAGGTCAAAATAGTGAAATGTACTCGTTTCATAAAAGCCAACCAGATGAATATGGTATGTGTATATAAACCATTTAGAGGCATTTTGGTAATGATCGTTAACATGGGGATGAGCAGAATGTATGATAGAGAAAATGTCACAAATGCATAAAGGGAATTTAAAAGAGGATCTCCCCTTTGGTACGGGTGGTAGCCATCAAAACTGATCATAGAAATAGCAACTCCTTTTTAAAATTTTCTGTGTTTTGCTTCTGTGTATGTATATACACCTCATATGTGCCTGGTGCCCAAGGAGGCCAGAAGAGGGTGTCAGATCCCCTGAAACTGGAGATAGCTGTTAGCTACCATGTGGGTGCTGGGAATCGAACCCAGTACCTCTGCAAGAGCAGCCAATGCTCTTAACTGCTGAGCCATCTCTCTAGCCCCTAACCCTCGTTTTGGGAGAACTTGAATTTACTGTATTGACAAATGGGCATTTATACAGATTTGTGAAGTTTTCTATCAAGAGTCCTGAATACTTTGTGATAAATGATCATGTTCTTACACATCTGTCTTTGTGGGTCTGAGTGTAAATCTAAATCATGATGTGTCTTTTCAACTCTATAACCCTAAGATTGATGCATGCCAACTTCTTCTGATTAGAAAGGCTGGTATGCCATCTTCCACTGCTCATATACAGCTGGCTCTTGATCATGGGTCCTGGCCCAGGGGCCACTACAGAGCTCACTCAGGTGGCCATGCACCTTACAATCTGAGTACTTAGCCCTATACAAGAAACATAGCTTCTGACGGGCTCTGGGAGTGCCAGAAACTCTCTTAATCTTTTCTGTGGCATATCCAGGATGCTGAAGATGCATCCAACAGGAGTCCTCTCAAAGGACTGAGCTCAAAGCAATAGAGAAATATAGGAAGTGCCATGCTGTGGCTGCTGGTGAGCTCTGACTGCAGACAAACCCAGGAGCTGTGTCTCTAGCCCACAAGGCCAGGGCACTCTGGGTTTGTTTTACTGCTTCACCTTCCAGAGCAGGAGGTCATACTGTGAGTAGTTTTAAACAAATAACAGTTAGTTAGTTAGTTAGTTAGTGGGGGGGAGAGCACATGCCATGGTGTGCCTGTGGTGATCAGAGGATGGGTCTCTCTACCACATGAGTCCCAGGGATTAAACCCAGATAGTCAGGCTCAGCAGTAGCCTTTACCCACTGAGCAATCTTGCTGGCCATATTGTAAGTAGTTTCAAACCACATGGAAACTTTTTTTTTTTTGAGACAGGGTCTTCCTGTAGCCCCAGCTGGCCTGGAACTCACTCTGTAGACTAGGCTAGCCTCCATCTCACAAAGATCCACCTGTTTCTGCCTCCCAAGTGCTGGGATTAAAGGTGTGCGCCACCACGCCCAGCTGGAAAACATTTTAAGGTGAACTTATCAAATTGCTGGTTCTGTATGTTAGCCAGCCTTCATGCACAGAAAACATGTAACTTTATGCAGGTTTGATGACCACGTCCATCTAGCACTGTGCATATAAAGTATGTTGTGGTATGGTTAGCTCAGAGTTCAGAATCCTGCCATCACTAAAATAGTGATCACATAACACAGTAAAAAGCAGTGCTTTTTCACAAAATAAGTGTTAGGGTTTGGACCCACAGCCACTCCCTTCCCCAGTGCAGCCAGACCCCACCAGTTTGCCAGCCCCTGAGAATGCAAGAACCGAGTTGATGAGCACCCTGGTCTTTGAAGTCAAGAGAAGCAGACTTTTCTGCACCTTTTGGCCAAAGACAGCTTGCTTTCCCTTTGATGATCTTGAAGGGTAAACAGACACCTCTAGACCCAGATCCTGGCTGACCTGGATGGAAGGGGGCGGGTTTTAACTGAAGCTGTTCTGACAAGTCCTGCTCTCCCCACAATTTTTAAAAATATGTTCCTGCCTTCTGCAGCCCCCTATAAAAGACCCCAGCCCATGACCCATGGGCTGACTTTTTCCCCGCCCTAAGGGACTTGTCCTGTGCAAGGTTTCCTTTGCTAATAAATTCTATCCTGCTGGAGTTTTGTTTTTATTTTTTTTTTCTGTGTCCTGGTGCTTTCTCCTGATCAACCAAATTCATCCATCCACTTCATCTATCAATAAGAATTGTGATTCTTATTTTTAAAAAGATGGATCCATATAAGCTAGTTTTCCTCTGAGTTGAATAGTTGTTTTTATTCTGTAGTGATTTTTTTTTTTTTTTTGGTTTTTTTGAGACAGGGTCTCCCTGTAGCCCCAGCTGTCCTGGAACTCACTATGTAGACCAGGCTGGCCTTGAACTCACAGAGATCCGCCTGCCTCTGCCTCCCGAGTGCTGGGATGGAGTAAGGTGGGGTTGTGGGAACATGTAATTAGTGTGTATTGATAAGTGAGAATTCTGACCTCTGAATTCTGGTGTTTTTAGAGAAATGAGAGATATTCACAGGATGAGTGATGACAGCAGGTAGCACAGTGAGGTCTGAGCCATTCACTGGACATTCAGCCCCTCCCACCGACAACCTAGAAAGTGGTTAGAGACCGCAGTCTCAACCTTACATAAAAATCCTTAGCTGGAGCCAGGCATAGTGATCCCAGCACTTGGGAGGCAGAGGCAGATGGATCTCTGTAAGTTCAAGGCCAGCCTGGTCTACATAGTAAGTTCCAGGACAGCTGGGGCTACAAGGAGACCCTGTCTCAAAAAGACCAAAAAAAAAGAAAAAAAGAGGGAGTTGGAGAGATGGCTCAGTGGTTAACAGCACTGACTGCTCCTGCAGAGGACCCAGGTTTGATTTCCAGCACCCACATGGAGACCAACAGCCATCCCTAGCTCCAGTTCCAAGGGGATTCCATACCCTCTTCTGACCTCTGAGAGTATTGCATGACACCGGCGTACTTACATACATGCAGGCAATACACTCACACTCATAAAATAAAAATATTAAAAAAGAGAAGAAAAACTGTGGGGCTATTGGGGTTGGAGTTTCTGATGCCCTTTTTTCTTCTAAGCAGGCTACATTAAAGAGGCTAAAACAGTGTTTGGGGCTGTGTGAAATATACATATTTGAAACTCCATACAGAAATCAGACTAACTCCAGAGTTTCTAAGGCATTGAACACAGGAAAAAATGTGGTCAGTTCCTTACAGAAGAATACTGAAGGAATAATGGGGCTTGAGTAGAGAAAATATACTTAGGGTTGTCAGGGTAGGCCTGGTGATCGCATGGCGTATTTTCTGAAAGGCAGGTGCTTTGGAGCATGCATAACATCTGAGAAATTTCCTGAGAAAACTTGCCTCCTTGACTCGCTTTGTAGCACAGGCTTGTGACCTGGGCCCCACCAAACAGGCACACCATGCCCAGCCTGAACTTGAAAGTGAGCAAGATGAAGATAGTTCCTGACTCACTGCCCAGCGATGACCCCAGTGTATGTGGATGTCATGGACTGTGTCGATGGCTTTGCACTAGATCCTGGTGTGTCTGGGGCTGTTGTATCTACGCATGGCTTCTGGGGCCCCTGAAGTCTTCAAGCTGTAGACTACAGTTAATTACTCATTCCCAACTGGTGTAGATTCTGTGTTCATAACAGAATCTGACTGAATCAAGCTGAAATCTGAAAGCCACATCAGCAGGGGGGGTGGATCAGATGAGCAGAGGGCAGCCAGGAGGTGGGTCAGGGACTGAGAAGGAGCCAGGGTACTGCAGTCCAGTAGGGAAGGGGTGAGTGGCATTTGATGGGGTAGTAAGGGAGGGCAGAGCTCTGCATCTAGTGAGAACCTTTGTGGTTTATGTGAAATAATCTAAGCTAACATGTTTTGAACAGGGTGATGTATATCTGATCATGATTCCTGCTTTTAAAAATACTTTATGTATTTAATCCCAGCACTTGAGAGGCAGAGGCAGGTGGATATCTGCAAGTTCAAGGCCAGCCTGGTCTACATAGTGAGTTCCAGGACAGCTGGGGCTACAGGGAGACCCTGTCTCAAAAAGACAAAAAAAAAAAAAAAACCCCAAAAACAGAGGCAGAAGAGAAGACGCCTTATACAGGACTAGGTGTGGACACCCCATGGATGAGCCAGACCCAGGCTGGACATGCTTTTACTATCAAAAGAGGAATCTCAAAGAGGGCAGGACAGGAACATGATTGTTATGGCTTCAGCTATGAGAGCTAGTATCTCCATTGCTGTGATACAGTCAGAGAAATTCTTGCACAGGAGATGTACAAGAAAGTCTACTGCCTGCACCATCTGTGATAGCAAAGGAAGAAAACCCAAGGAGGGTGAAAATGTGTCGGTTCCCCCACAGAACAAAGGCTGCACACTGCTCTCGGCAGAGCAAGCCAGGACAGCCACTGAGAACGACCTGTACTACCAAGTCAGCGAACCTGGGCATCCAATTTAGCATTTGTGCATTTTCTTAGCAACAAATTTACTATCAGAGTAAACAAAAACAGAAAAAAGGCCAAGACAATCCAACTTCCGAATTTGGACACACAAATCCTAAATTAAACACAGCAAACCACACCCAGCAACATACAGAAAGAATAATGCATGCTAAGGCCAAAGGATAGTTCACTGCTAGGAAGTCTAACTGCACACACCCTCCACCTTGCAAGTCCATCACCACACATATCCTAAAGACATTCTTACTGTACACCTAAGAGACTGTGTGCAAAGTATCCAGTATCTCAT